TGTTCCCCTGCTGACACTGCTGGGCCAAGAGCCCCCGAACACGGAGCTGATGGAGACCAGAATTCATCTCCAGCCTGGGCAGGAGGGTTTGGCACCCAGGGCAGACTCAGGGCTGTGCCAAAGCCCTGCTTAGTGACAAGGTCCTGTTCCAGAGGCCATGGCAGCCATGAGTGTTCAGGGTGTGGTTTTAGCTCCAGACATGGGTCCCTGGGGGCCCAGCTGTGCCATCCTGGAGCCCTGTGGCACAAGACCCTGCAGAGGTGGCACTTGGTGACAAGGTGGATTTGGTCAAAGGTTGAACACAGTGATCTTGGATCTTTCCCACCCCATGACCCTGTGATCCCAAGGTCTGGGGGCTTTTCTGGAAAAGCCAGCCCAGTGCTGATGGCCCAGCCTTGGTCCCACTTTGTTTCTGAAGAGAGTGGCAGCTCTGGGGCTGAGCCTGTGGGACAGGGTGGTGTCAGAGCACCCATCCCTGATTTCCCTTTGATAATTCCCTGTCCCAGACAGCAGCACTGACGGAACCAGCACAGCTCCTCCAGCTCTGGCAGCCTGATGCAATGGAAACAGGAGCTGCTGCAGACTGGCACACTTTTAAATGGGAAGGGCTGGGGAGAAGCTAAGCAACAGCAACAACAACAACAATATTAAAGTAAATGTTTTATTTATTAAAATTCTCCCCGAGTCACTCCCAAGCCCCTGAGGTTTATTGATGGCCATCAGAGGATTAACCAAATGCAACGGGGATTTTTGCATGTTTATTGTGCAGGCACACACTTCTTTCACTGGGGTGACAGGGTGGGTGATAAATAGCATGTATTAAATACACAGTGCTGCTGGAAGATCCATCCATCTCCTCTGGGAAATTGGCTGTGTCAAGGAAGGGAAAAGCAGCAGGCATGGCTGGGGAAGGATAAGGTCTCCAGCCCTGTTGATCCATGGAGATGCTGTCTGTGGCCAGCCTGGCCCAAAGGGAGTCAGGGCTGCTGGAGAATCCTGGCTGGCAAGTGATTCCCAAAGGGGAGTGCAGTGAACATCCTCAGAGTCATGGGATAATTCAGGTTAGGAGAGAGCTGGTTGGCAAATTTCTGCCTCCCTATCTCCACCCTTTCCTACTTTTCTAGAACATCACTTCCAAGTCTCACATTTCCCACGTAGTTCAGCTGTTTTATCATCTTGGATTTCCTTTTCTCCCTGTTTATTTCCTGTATTTCCAGCACACATCAATCAGAAGCCTGTGGAAACCAAAAGCAGGTCAGTGGGACAAATTAATTCTCTCTGTCCTCTTTGCTAAGACTTTATGACAAGTGGCTAATCATCTTTGATTCCTCTGCTACTGCTGGTAATGACATTAGCCACGATTAACTCATTTAGCTCATCTGTGGATTTAATATCTAATTCATCAGCACATCAGAAGGGAGCAGGCTGAGATGTTCAGGAAGCAATAACCCCTTTTCCATGTGCTTGCACTTTGTTTAAAGCTGTTCAGGACGACCTTTTGGAGTTAATTGAGAATTTCTGAGACCTCGGTCATTTCTTGCCTTGAGGTGCTGCTGAGTAATGGCAAGGAATGCTTTCCAGGAAAGGGAAGGGTGAAGGGAGTGTGTGTGTGGGTTCAGGGGATGTGGAGTAGGATGATGCTCATCATTCCCAGGCACCTGAGCTCCCACAGACCATAAACCCTCTCATTTCTCCTTGGTCCCCAATCCCTCAGGCTGTGCCCTGTGTCTCTCAGAGCAGGCCTGGGATGGGCTGGGATCTGCTGGGATCTGCAGATTGCTCCATGAGGGAGGAGAACTGAGCCCATTGCAGCTCCAAATGGCTCCATTGTATCTGCTTTACATAAGGAGCTATAAATACCCTCCCTGCTCGCTGCCTGCTGTTTTCCCTGTCTGCATTTTTAATTGTGGTGGCAGCTGTGGAGTTTTTGAGCTCAGTGGGGAGATGTGGCTGGCTGGGGTGTGCTGAGTCCCCCCAGGCCAGGGACACAGTCCAGAATACAGCCAGGTCCTGGCACTGCCCTTGGGTTTCAACAGGAGAAGGGTTTGGAAAGGCAGAAGGGATGGGATCATTCAGCTGGAACAACCTGGGCTAACGGGAGGTGTCCCTGCCCAGGATGGGCTTTAAGGGCATTTCCAACCCAAACCATTGTGTGATTCCACGATTCTGTGATCCATCCAAGCTGTCCCTCCCACACCTGTCACGGATTGATTTATTTATTCTTTGATCTGTTTTTTTAGCTGGAGAAAAGGAGGCTCAGGGGGAACTTGTGGCTCTGCACAAGTCCCTGACAGGAGGGGACAGCCGGGGGGGTCGGGCTGTGCTCCAGGGAACAGGGACAGGAGGAGAGGGAACGGCCTCAGGCTGGGCCAGGGCAGGCTCAGGGTGGACAGCAGCAGGAATTTCCCCATGGAAAGGGAGGTCAGGGATTGGAAATGCCCAGGGAGGTTTGGAGTGCCCATCCCTGGAGGAGTCCAGGGAATTGCTGGATGTGGCACTCAGAGCTCTGGGTTGGGACAAGGTGGGGGTGAGGTCTTGAGATTCCATGGCTTTGGAGCTCTTTCCCAACGTAATAATTCTGTGATTCTGATCTGAAATGGGCATGCACAGGACCTCCTGCATGAGAGGAAGGCTGGACTCTGTCCTGGGATTAACAAAACATTCCCCGATCCTGATCAGGTATTTCCTGAATCCTCTGATGTCTTAAGTTTCAGCTTTCATG